TAGATTAATTTGTTTTAATGTAATAATAAAATTTCTTAAAATCGCATAAGTAAATTTTGTAATAAATTTAATATTATTCAACTAATCAATTGGCCATAATTCCTCAAAATTATAAAAATTGCAATATTTATTACACTTTATGCAATCAATATAGTGATACATATGTAATCGAATCGTTATGTACTATTTATTTTAACCAACGATCAATATTTACAGAATTATAGCATTATCTCACTTATAGTTATAATATTATATGCATAAATATCAGTTATAATACTCTTGTTTAATATATAATACCATTATCTATTTTATTATTTTAATATTATATGCATATAAATAACTCATAATATTTTATTTACATCTCTGTGTACATATACATAGTCGGAAAACTAGTTCCAATTCAATGTGAACCCTTATCGGAATGAGCCACACTCGTTAATCAAACGAGTCTATAAATGAACTCAATCTCCACTTATTTGATAAATAACGAATCCAAATCGAATCTTATTGAGTCAAGTTAATTGAGCTAAAAGTTAATAAATTATGTAAAAACTTCTAATAACGAGCTTGTCTACCATTAAAAAGTCGAACTCGTCTTTGCTCTTTACCCAATATAGTTTTAAACAACCTCATGTTTGATTTGTTTATTTAATAATCTAATTTGAGATCGAGAAATTTGACCTTAAGTACAACTTTTCCGTCAAGTCTACAACAACAACAATAACATAGCCTTTTAGTTCCAAGCAAGTTGGGGTAGACTAGAGATGAAACCCAAGAGAACCAATGGTAAGAGAAACACAAAAATGGCTCAAAACAAAAGGAAGAGATCGAAGCAAAAGAGAAAGGAGCAAAAGTCACAGTTTTGGCACGTTGATTGCTAGCCTCCAAGCACTCCTATCCACCGTTAAATCCTTGGAGATATTCCAACCTTTAAGGTCTCTCTTAACTGACTCTTCCCAAGTGAGTTTAGGCCGACCTCTACCTCTCTTAACATCATCGACCGCTGTAGAACTCCCTACGCACCGGTGCATCAGGAGGCCTCCGTTGGACATGTCCGAACCACCTCAGCCGATATTGAACCAATTTCTCCTCAATTGGAGCCACTCCGACCCTATTTCGAATACCCTCATTCCGGATTCTATCCCTTCTTGTGTGCCTGCAAAACCAACGCAATATATGCATCTCTGCTACACTTAGTAGTTGGACATGTTGCCTTTTTGTAGGCCAATATTCAGCACCGTATAACATCGCCGGGAGAATCGCCGTCCTATAGAACTTACCTTTTAGCCTTTCTGGCACCCTCTTATCATAGAGAACGCCCGAAGCTTGATGCCATTTCAACCAACCGGCTGCAATTCTATGCCTAACATCTTCATCGATGTCGCCATCCTTCTGTAGCATCGATCTTAATTACCGGAAAGTCTTCTTCTTGGCCACCACTTGCCCGTCAAGGCTAGCTAACGTCACCATCATCATGTGTAGCCATGCTGAAAGCGCACGTCATGTACTCGGTCTTCGTCCTACTAAGTCTGAAGCCTTTCGACTCTAACGTGTCCTTCCACAGCTCTAACTTCATATTTACCCCTGCCCTACTCTGTCAACTAGCACCACATCATCAGCAAAGAGCATACACCAAGGGATATCACCTTGTATGTCCCTTGTGGCCTCATCCATCACCAAGGCAAATAAATAAGGGCTCAATGCTGAACTCTGGTGCAGTCCTATTTTAATTGGGAAGTCGCTGGTATCGCCCCCACATGTTCGGACACACGTCATCGCATCCTTGCACATATCCTTGATGAGGGTAATGTACTTAGATGGGACTCTGTGCTTTTCTAAGGCCCACCACATGACATTCCTCGGTACTCTGTCATAAGCCTTCTCAAGGTCGATAAAGGCCATGTGCAAGTCCTTGTTTTGGTCCCTATATCTCTCCATCAACTGTCGTATTAGGAAAATCGCCTCCATGGTTGACCTTCCAGGCATAAACCCAAATTGGTTTTGGGTCACACTCGTCACTCGTCGTAGACGATGCTCGATAACCCTTTTCCAAAAAGCTTCATCGTATGGATCATCAACTTAATCCCACGGTAGTTACCACAGCTTTGAACATCACCCTTGTTCTTGAAGATCGGTACTAAAGTACTTCTCCTCCATTCATCAGGCATCTTGTTTCACCGGAAAGTGAGGTTAAAAAGCTTAGTTAGCCATATTAACGCTCTGGCGCCCAAGCATCTCCACACCTCAATAGGGATACCATCAGGGCCCTTTGCTTTACCTCCCTTCATCCTCTCCATAGCCTCTGTGATCTCTGCCTCCCGAATTCTCATCACGAAGCGTCAATTGGTATCCTCAAAAGAGTCATCCAACTCCAGGGTAGGACCCTCACTCTCCCCATTAAACAATTTGTCGAAGTACTCTCGCCATCTGTCCTTGATCTCTTCATCCTTCACCAGTGGCCGATCCGACCCATCCTTGATGCATTTGATTTGGTTGATGTCCCTTGTCTTCCTCTCCCGAATCCTAGTCATCCTATAAATGTCCTTCTCCCCCTCCGTCGTGCCTAGGCGCTGATAAAGGTCATCAAAGGTCTGACCTTTCGCTACATTCACGGCACGCCAAGTCTAATTATAAATTTAAAATTAACAGCTTATCCCATAAGTCTAATTATAAATTTCAAAATGTTGTGTTCGTTAAGCTGATAATTGATCTCAGCTGGATTTGCGAGTTTCCCGCTTGGCTGCATGTTTAGTCCATTAGGCTTTTGCCGCGTGTGGTATAATTGTTTGTTATAATATATGATTATCATATATTTTTTCTTACTATTTTATATATAATTTTGGAAAAATATATACTCTGTGCTTAGATGTGTCTCTAGAATATATGCTTGAGGTTAACATAATGTTAATACTAGTTATTAGTAATGAACTAGGCCTAGTCAAAGCGCAGGAAGTTTAGCTAGTTTTATTTGCATTTTTTTTTTTAATCCGTGTTAACTAAAATTAACTAGTTATTTGTATTTGGCACAATTTATTGAACCTTATTATATTTTCCCTGAACTTGCAAATAAAATCTGACCAATGTAGATTTTAAGGGGAAAAAAAATTGATTAGAGATGAAAATGGGGAGAAAAATAGAGTAAAAATGAAATATTTAGGAAAACAAAATCACCTCTTAAAAATTGGGTTTTTTTTTTTTTTTTTGTACAAAAGAGAGACTAACGCCAACCAACATTAAGGATAAACGATCCGAGGATAAGAGACACAATTAACATCGTGCTCTAGCGGTGGGACATCACCGGACGGTGGAGCTGAAAGAAGTTGGAGAACGAAATGAGTCGCCACCAGAGACACCAAAAAGTCAGCCGCGAAATTTGCCTCGCGATAGATATGAAAAATCTTGACCTGCCAATCTCGACTAAGTAGTTCTCTTATTCCAAGAACCAAACCAGAGTGAACACCTTTTACATCTTCTGTATTATTCGCAAAACCCACGATGTTCGCATTGTCCACTTCTGCCTCAACCTGACGATATCCCAAATCCCAAGTCATACTAAGACCGTGAAATAATCCTCATAACTCCGCCCCGTAATAGAGCACGTCCCAATAGTTCTCATGAAACCTCCTAACTATTTCCCATGAGTATCACAAATCAACCCTCTAGTCGAAGCTATACCCGAGGATTTTTTATAGGCCCCGTCTGAATTCACTTTCACCCAATCCGTCGGTGGAGCCACCCAACGGATAATACGCTGGCCTCGGGAAACACCGGTGCCCACCAGTTCCTTGTCGCTCTTCGCAAATTGGAGAACACCATTAACGAAGTTTTTGATCTCATGAAACTTATCATCAGCTTCCTTTCCACGACTTTGAAAAATAGCAATATTACGCCATTGCCGTAATTTCTACAAGGTCACGCCAAACAAATTCCCAGTTGACTTCCACCGGAGGATCGAAGAAATTCAATAAGTTTGAAGCGAGCCACTCCTTCAAATATAAACTGAAGAAAAGATGACGTACTCGCGGCGGAACGAGGCTGGCTCATACTTGAGTAGCGTCCAGACAATCACGAAGAACATGTAGTAGCGACTCGTCTATAGATGGACACTTGTGGCAGCTTACACCGAGATTAACTGTCTCCGTCCTTGCTCTACGTTGGTCAAAAGGCGTCCTTTTGGTACCAGCAGAAGGGAGTGTCGCATTTGTTTTTCTTGATAGATTACCAACTTTGTCTCAAAGACTTTTTTTCTTGGCAGATTACCTTCCAAAGTATACGATACTGACAATATGTCTATTAAAGATCTAACATGACACAATGTTGTTTTACTCAATTAACGATGAATTTTTAATCAACCTTGAAAAATGATTTAGGACTTTTGAAGCTCATGGCGTACGAAAAAAATGAAGTATGTTTTATCGATTCTAAAAATTAATACGTCGTTAATCGATCGATAAAGAAGGTAGGCGCACACAAACACACAAACACATAAATATAAAACTTTTGTCCAACTTTATGATAATCAAGATATTCGATTTTCGATTAGAATGTGTCATTTTAAAACTTGCATTGGGCCATCTATAAAGATAGTATTAAGTAAAACTGACCAAATTTATATTGGATATTTGAAAAAAAAAANNNAAAAAAAAAAAAAAAAAAAAAAAAAATTATCTTGAATCTGTTGAGTTTGGCACAACTTTTTTTTACTAATTACACTAATTCCACTTATTGATTAATATTCATTCTTTAGAAATCCAACTCCATGTATCAACTCGAATCTGAAATTAGGTGAAAAAGCAAACATCATGAACCAATTCAAAAGGGGAAAAGCTCATAACCTAATCATCAGTAACCACACAACAAATCCTCTTAACTCAACCAATCACTCCATTCACTGACTATAAACACACACATTATAAGTTTTAACAAACCAAAAAACAAGCAACACAAAAATACTTCACATAAAACCCCATATTTTCATGGCCAGGCACATCACCCTTCCCATGCACACGGCCAGTGTCTCACAAATTGGTCTTGGCATCGGCTCTTTCCTTCTGTGCGTGTTGGCTTTGTTCGCGTGCGCAAGCCATTCAAGAACACGGTGGCGAAAATGGAAATCTTGCTATGTGTTCGGAAATCGAGAGCCCGTCATCCAACTCAATCACGAGGACGTGATCACGGGTTACCATTATGGAGAAGCTGACCCGAGTGCATATAGTGGTGAGGTTAGCACGTTGTGGAAGAAGAATATATTAATGGGGGGCAAGTGTCAGCTGCCCGATTTCTCGGGTGTTATTATTTACGATTCTGTTGGGAACGTAGTCGATACTGGTAAAAGCAAGCCCAAACTTCCATGGAAATGAATGTGTTTTTTTCTTTTTTCTTTCAGTTGTAATGTTTGATTGTGAAGCAAAAAGATCAGGGCTTTGCTTTCTAGAACCAGATGCTGCTAGCCTGCTACCAAATCACGTCTTCCTGTGATTTTGTACAAATGTTAAATTGTTTCTCTTTTGGTTGATTATGTCCCTGTAAAATAGTAATTCAGTATGTTGATGAATCCAACACTACTATGGATGTTAGATAACTGTAAAAATGGCAACCCTGTTCCAGAGTACCTTCAACATAAAATGTATAACTGTATTGCCACAGTTAAAACTTAAAACCGGCCGAATTCAAGAATTATATCAGGTAGAAACAAAGGAAAACCGAAAAATATGATACATCAAGCACAATAATTTCAAACCTGTCTCAAGATTTAACCGCGCTCCTTCCCCTGAACCCAACAACATTTAACTTAGACCTAACTACATCTGATTTTTCTTTTCCCGGATGGCTTTTACCCCTAGACGATGTTCCTCTGGGGGAGCTGCTACCACCAGAAGATTTTGATGTTTTGAAAACTTTCACCATCTTCTTTTTACCTGTGGTAATTGTGGGTGCTTTGCCAGCTTTGACCACGAAGGTTTTCTTGGTGGCCGGTTTTGCTTTGCCATGGGCTTCAGATGATTTAGCTGAAGAAGCAACATTGGCTTTATTTTTCGGAGCCGAATTTCTTACAAGCTTTGCACCTCTTTCCTTGTGTTCGCTTATGCGTGACCTGGCAGCATCCCTTTTGATACTGTCCACGGAAAGAGATTCCAAGCTCTCATTCTTTGCTATAGCCTCTTCTATGCGAGTGGCCAACATTGAATCTCTTTTCGCAACCAAACTTGTCACCTTCCCTATAATCATAATATATATATGTATGCTTATGTTAGGGACTAGATAATTTTCCATTTGTAACCTACATAATGTGTTGCAAGTGCTCTCTCTCTCTCTCTCTCTCTCTCTCTCTCTCTCTCTCTCTCTCTCTCTCTCTCTCTCTCTCTCTCTCTCTCTCTCTCTCTCACACACACACACACACACAGAGTAAATGATATATTGGAAGGAAATGCTCACGAGGATATACAAATTCTGCACATGCGAGCAAGAGTTCAAAAAATACAACTCCCAAGTTAAAGTTAAACCAAAAGGGCTCCAAAATATTATAAATTAAAAATTAAATGAATTCTTAAATAGACCACAGTTGTCGCTTTCAACGTCGGGTAAACTCGTAAAAATACCTTTAGCACCCATGCGGGCAGTTCTTCCAGTTCGATGCAGGTAATCAATCTAAAAGGTCAAAAAGAAAAAATTAATCGCTATTCGTGAAAGAGAGAGAGATAGGGAGATAGAGAGAGAGAGAGAGAGAGAGGGAGATGCTGAATCGATGCTTACAGAGTTTAAGGGGAAATCAAACATGATAACATGGTCAACATCCAAGTCCAATCCCCTTGCGGCTAAGTCAGTGCAGACTAATGTAGGGCAATCCCCATCATTACTCTTGAACTTTTCTAGGTTCTCAATTCTGTACCAGGACATGATATTGTTTACAAACATACGAGAGAAATAATTACATGAAGTACAGGTAAATCCAAACTTGCACAAGTACATCTTTGATTTTATTATTTAAATCATTAACCACACTGGAATTCCTTTTCATATTTCAATGTTTACGTGTGACGACATTGTAGACTGTAACTGTCCAATCATAGATTATTTAATGTTTATCGTTAATTAGAAAAGCTCCAGCTTAGAAACAATTCAACTATTTACTTTTCCAAGGAAAAAGCCTTTGAAATTCACACACATCCTTGTTGACTGTTCAGCCTGACGGTAACTTTTAGCAACTTAACAGATCAGATCGTAAGCAGAACAGGAAGTGTACAGACAAGAACAGCATATCTCATCTCACCTTTGTTCGGCAGGCACCTCTCCATGATAATTGACAGTAGAGATTTGGTTTTCACTTAAAAAGTGATCCACGGCCCGACTAGAATTCAATGTGTTGCAGAAAACCATCACCCTATTTCCTTTTGCTAAACTTGGCTCGAGAACCTGTAACCATTGATGGAAACATGGATATACAAATCGTGACATTTTAAGATGATGCTCAAACTAATTTTTGTGGTTTCCACTTTCACAATCCTGGCCCCACCCCTCAGAGAATGACCAGTTACAAAGGGTCAGGGATCACGATTTAACTTGGAAATGATTTTAACTCTCATATCCCACAAGCAATTTACAATTACTTACACATTTGTACAGCCTTTGTTTTATCAAACTTTGTGTTCGAGTTCCTAATGATAAGACCTGGGGAAGATTAAAGCTAGATAGAAAAAGTAATGAACCTGCAACAAGGCTTCCAGTTTATTCTCAGAACCTGAAAGCTTGATAAAATCATGCCGAGCAGATGCAATCCTTTTATGGAGGGTAGAAGTACGCAAATGGACAATGCCCTGAAACTCCTCATCAACCAGCTTTTGTACTGCCTAATGAAATGAAGCATAACAGCATATGTTAATTGGGAAACAACTTTGATCATGATCTAAAATGCAAGAAACATTGACTAAAAGGATTTGAAAAATTCAAAAACACTTCTAATCTAGCTATCTTTATTACATCAAATAATACAGAAAATACTTAACCTCTCATTTATAGACAATATCTAAATCTAAGAAACATTAATATTTACGGTCAGTGATACCATTTTAAAAATCCAAGCATCAAGCAAATAATCCCGTAAGTCTAGATCTACCGACATAGCACTTACCACAATATCATGGCAGGTGAATTTCATTTAGAATGATTTTCTATTAACTATGCATATACCTTTGTCATTGTTGCAGTGACTAATACAGTTTGAAATCCTAGACCATCAGGTTTAGATGCACGGTTTCTCAAAGGTCCAAGAAATTTGCGGATGTCTGGGCCAAAGCCGTGATCAAACATAGTGTCTGCCTCATCCAAGACCTATTTAAAATATTAATATCATCATCAAGCAGTAGAAAACATTTTCTATAGTGTGATAGAAGTTGCTTTAATGAACTAAAATACAACGCAATCAAGAAAGTGGGGTTAATCACCAAGTATTTGATGTCACCATAGACCAAATTGCCATCTTCAATGTGCTGCAAAACCCGACCAGGAGTCCCCACAACCATGTCAATAGGGCTGTTCAAGGAATCTTCTTGGGGTTTTAAACGCCCACCACCACTTAACATGGTCGATCTGAATCGCGCATGGTGACTTAAGGACTTTGCAACACGGAACACCTAATCATGCAGCAGGGTTTTACTGATTATATCATGTAAGCATTAGTTGCAAAGAGATGTGCAGCGAAACCAACCTGCTCGCAGAGCTCCCTAGTTGGGCATAGCAAAACAGCCCGCGGACGTCTGGGCTTCAACATAATACCATGCATAGCCTCGTCTTTTCTAAGCAACTGAAAAAAAAGTTGCAGTGTCAAAACCAGATGAGTATCACCTTACCAAACAAGTTAACTAATACAGTACCCAAGTACAAACTACAAAAGATTGGGAATGAACATAAAGGCCCTGGAAATTCAAGAAAACTATTCCAGCATAACCTCAAGTGTAACCCAAAAACAAAGTATATCACCAGTGACAGCGTTATTATAAATGAATGTATAAATCAACCCCTTATTCCAAACAGTCATTTCCAGGAGAAGGTAACCCTTCATTAGTACACAAGCAACCATAATAAACATTTTCTTTTATATCAAAAACTACATTGAACAATTCAATGACAGAAACAAAGCACATCCAATTTGAGAAAGCTGTAGTAATGTGCCATGTGGATCAAGAGGCGTACTAAAAGACATAAAAGTATTACATTTACTTTTTTTTATGAACATTGGTCCAACTCACTGAAACAGTATCAGGAGAACAACACAGAGCCAACAAATGAAAAAACTCATCAACACTTATAAACCTGAACAAGGGGCAACAGGTAAGCCAGGGTCTTGCCAGAACCAGTGTGGGACCCCAAAACAACACTCCTCCCTTTAAGCACTGCAGGTATCCCAATTCTCTGAATCTCAGTTGGGACCGAAATCCCCATTTCCCCCAAAGCACCCATCACCTCTTCACTCAATCCCAGCTCCTCAAAACTCGAACCCACCTCCGCCGTACTGTTATTTTTCCTTCTCGGCCCCTCGTTCTCTCCGAATTTACCTTTTTTGGACCCACCCACCGCAGGTTGAGGCGCGGCGGCGCTAGGCTTTGAAGTTCCGGCGGAACCTTTGAGGTGCCTCTGCCTGAGTCTTTCCAGAAGGATCGAATGTCTTGCTGGCTGCAGTTGTGATTCAGCTACGTCGAAGGCGGGCTCTGCAGCGGTGGTGGCGGTGCAAAGTGATCGGAAATTGTGGAAAACCACCACTCTGTGAGCAGGCGGGCGAATATGAAACTGTAGGGAGAAGAAAAGGGGTTTACTGGAAGAGAAGCGTCTGGGCAGAGAGAGGAGAGAGAAGGATAGAGCTTTCGCCGTTGTTCCCATTTCTATGTGAGGTACCAGAAGTCTGGATCTTTTGTCAAGAGGCTGTGTTGTTCTGTCGGTTTTTGGGGTTGAAGCTTTGGGTTTAAGGATGGGAGTGAGATGAATGGATGATAGATTTCCTTTGGTCCTAATTCTTTTCCATTTTGTATATTTGTTTTATTATTATTATTTTATTTTTATTTATTTATTTTTTTTTTTTGGTACAAGTGTAATTGAATTAAAAATATAAAACAAAGCAATAAAATAACTATATTAATAAATTCTTTTTGAAATTATTTTTATATTTATTATATCCCTCCTATATATAATTTTCATACTGAGTCAAAGTGGCAGACTCGCATGTTTTATTCTATATGGCAATTATTTATGCTCTGTAATTTGACTTTGTTGAATTTTAATTTATTTCCAGTCCAAAAATATATTATATATTTATGGTTGTTGCAGCAAATTATATTATTTACCGAGTACCGAATCAAATGATTTGTTCCTCGGTTCGATCGCTCGAGGAATGTTAGTCGGATTATAATATACGATTATTTTATCACAAAAAGGGAAACAAAATTTCTGAACACTTTAATTTAGGGAATTGAGATAACGCAAATCAAAATTTAAAGCAAAAATAATGAATCACCAATGGAAAGAAAATAGGGAGTCGGGGATAATTGTTTTGGTTCGAAACACAATTACGGGCAAGAGATCTTTCGGTCAAATGACTCGAATAACCTACATCTTCAGAGATTCATCCTCAATAACTTTTTGTAACAAGGTAATAAACATGATAGACAAATTGACGAGTCGTTTAACACATAGACAATACAATTACGAACAAGCCTATTTCGTACAAGCCTAGATCGATCAACTTATCCCCTTTCGGTTCTAAGAGTTGATTAAATTAGATTAGAAGGTGGTTAACCGACTAATCTTTTCGAATTGAAAACATCACACGAGAATAAATCATATTCAATTGAAGATAATGTTCCCCTACCCACGGTGGGCACATGTTTAATATGTTCACCGCTTATGTGGCATGCACACATAGGTGATGTTAATATGTTCAAAAAAATACATCACCAATGTGTGCATGTCACATAAGCGGTGGGCATATTAACATGTGTCCATCGAGGGTAGAGGAGCATTACTGATTCAATTGAATATTAATTGGAGATTGAAGTGTTACTCTTCAACAATATTCAATATTCAAGCATGATATTAAAAAACATATTTGAAAACAACTCGCATAAATTGAATGATCAACAAACGCCTATAATTATAATCGAATTCAAAACATTGTCCCATATTCCCAGCAAATCGAATTATCCACTCATATTTAATTCAACAAGATCAACCATCTCAACCAAAAGCAATCATATTTATCAAATAAATGGAGAAAATAACTTACGATTGATATGGGATTGAAAAACGAATCCAAACACTCAAGCTTAATCCAAGATGAATATTCAAATATTCATAGACAGAAAAAGGGTGAAAAACGAGTTTGGAGTTGAATATCTAGGTCTGGGAACATATCCTAATAAAAAGTGCTCGAAAAATCAAGCATAACTGAGTTTGAAAAAAAATCTGGTCGCGCCACCATGGGCCGTGAGCTCCCAGCAGGGGCGCTCCGCGAGTGCGACGCAACATAGGTCGCGGTGCTGAACGCTTCCGAGGGCGTGACTTTTCCCGAGGCCACGGGTGCGCAGGCGCAAAAAGAGTCCGCGGCCGCAGGCGTCGTCGCGGGTCGCAGTCATAATCCTTGGAGTGCGGGCGTGCAGGCGCTGGAAAACTATGTGCGTGGTAATATGCTGGGCGAGGCACGAGCTGCTGTGCGTGAGGCCTAGGCTGCTTGCGCGACTTTATGTTTCGAGCTCGTTTATGCTTCTTGCCCCGGTGACCGAGGTCGATATCAAAGCTACCCTCATTGACATTGCGGGGGGAAAATCCCCGGGTCCGAACGGCTATACTTCCACCATCTTCTTGAAGAGTTGGGGCCGATGTGGTGTTGGCACTTCAAGAATTTTTTTGATCCAGCTCTCTTCTCAAGAAATGGAATCAGACCGTCGTCACTCTTGTTTCGAAGTCCTTTCACTCTTCACGCGTGACAAACTTTAAATCAATAACATGTTGCAACACTTTGTACAAAATTTGCTCCAAGATCATTGCTAGGCGAATTAGTGAAGTGCTAGATTCTATCATCGATTAGGCTTAAGCCGCTTTTGTCAATTGGAGGAATATTCCAGACAATATCCACCTTATGCAATAATTGTTCCGACAATACGTGCGAAAAAGGGTAACCCCAAGGTGCACCATCAAAATTGATCTTCGCAAAGCCTTTGATTTTATCTCTTAGTCGTTCTTGAAGCAAGTGCTCGAGGGTCTTGGCTTCCCGTCGGCCTTCACGAATGGGTCATGGAGGGCGTCACAACTCCATCCTACTCAATATCAATTAATGGGAGCCTCAAAGAAAACTTCAAAGGGACGCGTGGACTTAGACAAGGTGACCCCCTCTTGCCTTTCCTTTTTGTGATTTGCAATGATTATCTCTCTAGGCTTTTCAAGTGCAATACGACGGAGGGCTGAACTTCAAATTCCACCCAAAGTGTGAGCATCTCAAAATCACACACTTTGCCTTCGTCGACGATCTCATGATACTCTCTCGAGGCAACCCATCTATCCTCATGAATTTCCTCAAAGACTTTGGGGCTGAATTGGGGCTAGAAACGAATGTTAAAAATCTAATATTTACTTAGCGGGAGTAAATATGATAACCGGGCAACAATCGTTGATGACACGCACTTGCAATGTGGTCCAATGCCTTTTCGGTACCTCGGCGTCCCTCTCTCCGCGGAACGTGTCACCGCAAGGCTCTTTGATGGCCCAGTTATGAAAATTGACGCGCAATTTAGCGAATGGAGTGACCATACACTCTCATACGCCGGTAGAGTGGAACTCATCCGCTCGGTGATACAAAGTATCGAGTGTTTTTGGTTGGGGATTTTCCACTTGTCTACTATAGTGCGTACCAAAATTATCCAATTATGTAGGTGTTTTCTTTGGGGATCGTAAAGCGCTCTCGTAGCTTGGGATAGCTTATGTCTCCCGCGTTTGGGTCTTCGTGACTTGAATGCTTGGAATCAAGCGTTGCTTGCACGCACTCTTTAGAACTTGCAAGCTAAAAAGGACACCTTATGGTACAAACAGATCCACCACATTTATTTGGAGGGCAAGAACGTATGGGAATGGGAAATACACAAGGATGACTCGTCTCTTTTCAAATATCTTTTCGAGATCCGATGAGCCTTGGTAGACAATGCAGGAAGTGAGCAAGCCGCGAAAGCTCTGTTGGGATATGTGAGGATCTCGTTATGTATAAATCACGAATTTAATAGCAAACGTAAATCTATGCTCAACGGTAAAGGTTTGACGTAAAAAACTTACAACTTAAAATTTATGGCGATCTGGCTGATCTCCAATTGGATTGACCGGGATGAGCACGCGAACATGATTGAATCACATGAACGGGACATCGGGGTCGGCTCATGTCGGATTGGGTCGGGTCGTGTAGCTGGTCGGTCGGTCGGGTCACCGGGCGCGCCACGCGGAATTGCAGGGCTGGTCGTATGTCGCGGTGTCGTCGCTGCGGGAGCGGGCGGCGGTCCTTGGTCGCGGCATTCCTTGGCCTCGGCTGGGCTGGCGGGTCGCGGCTTCGAGCCGTGACTTGTCGGCTCCGTTGATCTCCGGGGTTGATGAATATATGTATCTCAATTACCTCGGGATCTTCTACTGTATATTTCAAACACGCTCTTCAACTTGTATCGGTGGAGCAACAGGAAGAAGATAAAGCTCGAACAGAAATCTCTCTAATCTAGAGAGAGAGAGAATGGGGTGTGTGATATATTATCACGTAAGAGAATTATGATCACTTCTTCTCTTTTCCATGAGCCTAATGGTGTATATATAGAGCTACAGTAGGGACCATTAAGAGATTAGAAATAGGGCTCCTTAATTAATTAGACTAATTGTGGGCTAAGCCCACTCCTAATAATTTCTATAATTATCTTCTCATGTTTAAGATATAATGCACGTTTAAGATATAATGCTCATTAATTAATTCGATTACTGATAATCAATAATTAATTAATTTTATATTATTTCACCGAAACTAGCGCTCGTTCATCACATTCTTACTATGTTGGAATTTAATCGACCTGCAGGATTTAGCCTAATAATCCTTCATGAACTCATTCCAGGGACATAATCAAACTAAGCGTACATGGTGGCTGTAAATATCCTAACAGTACATCATACATGCAACAATATTACTCAAGACAGTGGGACTATTGATCCAGTTCACTAAACCTCACCCATGTGAATCAAAATAATATATACTGCATATATATGTCTGTTTAATATCTTTACGGGTTAAGAGAACGCAGTAATTAACCGAGGCCTAGTTCGTTTACAACGATCAGTGTAAAACAAATTGCTCCTCTCTGGGATTCTGTTCAATACATAAATGTACTGGTGCAACTAATCAGTCAAGACAAACTGCACCGTTGACAGTACAACCATTCGGGATGGGGTGTTCATTTACATCTAGGTTGTGAACCATAATTTTTATTTCGCAAGTAACTGACAGAGTGATTTTCGGTTCGCTCGATGACGACCCATTATATCAAAGTGCAAAACAACAGAACATAGAAATGTTTAATCTAACATGATTCTCATTCATAAAGGGTAAAAGGGTAACATCATCTAAAACCAAGCTTTCAGTATATAATACTAACAAACTCTACTTCATCGTGGAGTTCACGAGGCAAGCAAGAGAGATTGAGAAGTTGCTATGATTTCTTAAGGCCCCGTGGTGCATTGGTGCCATGGACGGGGTAGTTTGGGGCCCTTGCAATACGCCCAAACAGTATTTCATTCTTTGGTTGTGAGTGCTCAATCATGTCCGTACAAAGGATCAGTTAGAGTTCATTGATGAAGACCCGACTTGCTCT